GAGAGGCTGTGGCCAGCAGGAGAGGCTCCCCAGCTCCAGCAAGATCTGAGCAGCGACCTGAGAGGTTCCCAGCCCTGCTTCCAGCTCCTCCAATCAGAGGCCAGGCAGCTCGACATGAGGCTGGGGCTCCAGGAAGGTCAAGACCCCTAGTAGCTTGGAGCAGTACCAGCATTGGTGGATATATGGTAGAGTTTCTGCCCCCATGTGGAAAATCTGAGTTCAAGTCCCAGCTGGGCTGACTTGGGGTGAGTAAAGTAACAAGGAGAAATTCTTGTTGCAATGGAAGGGGGTCACTGTGTTTTCCCCCTTTCTCCCCCTCCAGGTACCTAGGCCCTATATACCTTGTCATTTGATATTTTGTATTTTGTGCCTTTTATATTTCACCCACCAGTATTGTTTGTTTTGCTATTTGTGTTTTATATTTTGTTAACCCTGTCTTTTGTCAACTGGATGAATATGTCTATGATTGTAAGTGTATAACCTTTGTTGACTCTTGCCCCCTCGGGGCATTGTAGTGTCCCCTATACCCCCTGGTTTATACTGGTTATGTTCCCAGTACTGTTCTCACATTAAAAGGTATGGTCAAGTCCCCATTGGTGGTCTGGCTCTGCTCTATAGGGGGAGAAGAGTCCCTACACCTCCCACAGTGCTTGTGCACCTGCTTTGATCCCTTCAATTGGAGAGGGGGTACCTCTTGGAGTACTGCCCGGGTTACATTTTGGGGGCTCGTCCAGGTTCCCGGCGTAGCAAGTGCTAGAATATTATTCAAGAGCTGTGTACCCCTGTAGAGAGAGAGTGAGCCACCAGGAGACATGTCCAATGACGACCAGCCTGCTGTACCCTCCGGGAGTGATGGGACGGTGCAGGGGTGAGTAGGGCAACCTGCTGGTACTGAGGCTACCCCGAAATTGGTGAGGGTTTTCCAGCAGATTCTGCGGGAGGTGACCTGTTCCTCCAGTGACCAGGCAACCTATAAAAGACTCCGGAGTTTCTTGGGAACCCTTCCAGTCCCTGCAGGGGAGGAAGGATTCGATTTTTGGCTCTCCCATGTTCAAGAGACTTTACTGACTTGGCAAATACCTGATGAGGATAAACGACGCTGTCTGCTGGAGGTCCTGAAGGAGCCTGCCTTTGGGGTTGTGAGGACTGCCAATCTCCAGAAACCTGTTATCACCACCCAGCAATGCGTGCAGGTCCTTCAGGATGCTTTTGGCTAACCCATGGGGGGAGGGGGGCATACTACGAATAGCTGGGAACTTTCCAGCGCAAGGGCGAGACTCTTTCAGCATATGTCCTGCGCTTAGAGCCAGTCTTACAATGCCTGGTGACCCAAGGAGCACTTAGTGTTACCGACGCCGATCAGATACAGCTCTGGCAAATTTGTATTGGGGCACGGTATAGCTCGGACTTACTCCGGAACCTCAACTTAGCGGGGAGCAGGAGCAGCCCATCTGACTTCTGTCACCTCTGAAAGATTCATGAAGAGG